AGGATCCATGGACAACTTCATACCAACCATCAGACCCAGCAGCTACAAATCACCCCACTTTGGGGACCTCAGGTGGGCATCAGTATGCCAGCTCCTCCTCTCTGAGGAACCCTGTAGTTCCATCAGCACCGGTCAGTCTACCCTCTGTGGCAGCCCAGGCACCATCTGATTTGGAAGCTATGGACACTTCTCCATAGATATATCCCATCTTTCAGTCTCCTCCAGTTTCAAGTACCTGACACCCTTGGGGGAAGTAGAGGAGCATTATAGAATCCTCTGCCACCTCTCCCTGGCCCGACAGTGAACTTGTGTTCCAAACCTCTGTCCAGTTTTTCTAGCTTAGACCTTGCCCTAAACCTACCACTCTCCTCTCTTCCTCGTCTGTTTGCCTCATAGCCCTTATGCCTCGTATTTTTCCATAGTATGTACATAAAATCCTGGTTATTTTTAATCTACCTGTGTTCATGTGTCATCTTGCTCTTTCTCCATTGTTGGTGGGAGTGCAGACTGGTGCAACCACTATGGAAATCAATACAGAGATACCTCAAAGAGCTGGGACTAGAGGTTCCATTTGACCCAGCCATCCCTCTGCTGGGTATCTTTCTAAAAGAATTAAAAGAATCATACCACAGTGATATACGCACACCTATGTTTATAGCAACACAGTTTGTAATAGCCAAAACTTGGAAACAGCCCATTTGCCAATCAGTTGGAAACTGGATAAAGATGTGGTTTTTCTATTAAATGGAATACTACTCAGCCATCAAGAATGAGAAATTAGATTCACTCATAGGAAAATGGATACATATTGAGGACATACTCTTAAGTGAAATACATAAATCACACATGTAAATACCAAATAGTTTCTCTGGTGTGAAAAACTATAATAGTACGTAACATCCTAATGAGATAATTGACCATGTGAAATAGGAAGAAAAGGGCTAAAGGTGTAGGGAAAGTGGGAAGGGTAGGGAAAGGTAATAAGGGAAAAGAAAAAAATATGAGAAAATGGAAATAAAGCGTTTGTAAATGGGGAGGAGAGGAGGGGATGAAGGGAGTGCAGCGACAAGGGGAAAAAAATAAGAAACAAGACCTGCCATGTAAAGGTACAAGATCCCAATAATCAATGTAATTTTACTGTATACCTAAAATGTACCAATAAACTCAATAAGAGAACTATATATACATACATATATATATATAATGATCAGCCCTCTTTATTGTCATAGAATTTTAAATTAAAACAATTGGAAAATAATTTTACCCGGTTAGGATTTAACCATATCTGCCTCACAAGAGCAAGGTCCTGAGTTCAATTCTGAGGACCAAAAAAAAATTTTTTTTAACCTAGTAGACACAAAAAATTAAAACCTAATATATAGTAAAACAACATATTATATAGTAAATGTGAAGAAATCCTTTCTTTGTTGGTGAAAAAATAAACTGGGCTCGATATTCTGAATGGACATTTCACATTATCCATTGAAATTTTCAACTTTTATCTGCTCTTATGAGTAATTCAGCGTCCATCAAAGTGCAAAGTAACTTGTACTTGGACACAAAGATGTACAAATAGGGATACTCATCACGGTACTTTTTTATAATAGCAAAAAAATGTAGGACAGTACTGTATCATACCTCTATGAATGTAAAATATCTAGTACCTGCTCTATGATACATAGTAGGGAAGGTGCTTTCTCAGAGCTACATTTAATGATATTATTCTAGAATGTTCTCTCTCCAGATGACGATTAAGAGGCTAACAGAAAAAATGGTGCCAGGTACCACAGCAGCAACAGAACTTTGCTGTTTTCTGGATATTATTCTTTCTTTTTCTTTTCTTTTTTGTTTTTGTAATGGAATGTGCTGAATGTCTATAATTTTGTTCAGATGACTGCAGAACCTGGAAAAGCTGTTGCCGCTATCGATGCATACATAACATACTATTATTAGTCTTTATACACACACACACACACACACACACACACACACA